TGTACCCTGCACCCTAACACCCTCAAAAGAAAAGTCCGAAGGGTGAAAATGAAGATGAGAAATGAAGAAGGAAGTGCAGGTGCGCTGAAAAGCGAACGTGGTTGACTCTTCACCAAAACTGCAAAACTGTGAAAGAAAGAAGATGTTTGGGTCACCTTTTTTTTGGTTTTTCTCCCTCTGCCTATCGGTTTTCCTTTTCTGCTCCTCTCTTCCTTGTGTTTAACACAGACCTCTTCCTTCACTCTGCCTCTTTCCCATACCGTGCAAGTGGGCTGTTATGGCATACGGGGATGGGGGCAGCTCGCGCTCAACTTCATCAACGTGGCGAGCCTTGTACGTTAGAGGCATAGTGGAGGAGGCGTTAAGAAGACTGAGAAACTGAATGATTTGAATGTGTCTTTGTTTTTTATTTTTATCCTTTGATTCAGTGATTTTTTTTTTTGTAAAACACTGAAAGAAATAATAATACTGTGAAACAAAGAATAAGAGGACACTTTTTTGTGTCATTTTGGTTTGTCTGTCTCTTTGCCTGTCTGTCCTTTCATTTTTTTTTTCTTCGCTCATCTTATTTCTTCTTCTACTTCACGTGCTTACTCTCTTAGTCAATAGTTTTGTGACAATATATACCTATTTGACGATATATATATATATATATATATCGTCACAAACAGAACTGCCCTGTAAACCGTAGGCAGAGAGAGAAGAGGACAACAAACGAGGGGCTGTGACAAACTGTTTCGTCGGAGTTTCACCGACTCATCAGGAGGCTGAACCCTGAACAGTCTGCAGAATCCCCTCACTGATTACACTGTAGATGATAATCTACCTTAACCAAAATCAAAGTAGACTATCACTCACCCACACCAGATGGAAAACTCTACAGACTGTTGGTTCACACCCCATGACAAGCCAGCAAAACATCCACGAAACAAAGAAAAAAATATATATATATATATACATATATATATATATTTTTGGGCGGTTTTTTGTCTCGCCCGGTTTACCCGGGCAGCCCCCCGGCCCACCGACCGGGCCCAGCCTGGCTGGACAGGCTCGGCCGAGCGGCGTCCTCACTCTGTATATATATATATATATATATATATATATATATATATATATAGTCGGAGTTTCATCGACTCATCAGGAGGCTGAACCCTCCTGATGAGTCGGTGAAACTCCGACGAAACAGTTTGTCACAACCCCTCGTTTGTTGTCCTCTTCTCTCTCTCTACCTATGGTTTACCGGGCAGTTCTGTTTGTGACGATATATACAGGGATTTGTGCAATTTTTCCAGTACTTTTACCGAACTGCCTTCTTGTATGTTCAGCCCTTCTAGGGCAACAAAGCAGTTGTGGTGGTCATGGATGCCATGGACGAACACATCGAGACGAAGGGCGACACAACAGCTGCGGTGGCCACGGATGTCATGGAGGAACACACTGAGACCAAGGGCGACACAACAGCTGCTGGTCGAGTTGCTCCCGCGGAATCAATCGTAGAAGCAACCAAGGCCGATGAGGAAGAGGTTGCGAACCAAAAAGGGGCAGGCAGGGTCACAAACGACATGGAAGGGGTTCCTAAGACTGATGAGGACGCAGGTGCGGTAGACGCAGGTAATGAAGAAGAGGGTGTGATAGGTGTGACAGGGGCAGGCTCGCCATAGTTTGACAGGCGCCGATAATGAAGCAGGGGTTGAGACAAGCGTAGTCCGAGGACAGTGTGGTCTTGGTGCGTTCCTCCATGGCATCCGCGGCCAT